CTCAATATACCTCCACATGGTTCAGTTTACGTAGCCTCCGACACACACCCAAGAGGCCTCAAGATGGCCCCAGGACGGTTTCAAGTGCCCTCCGAGCCCTGAAAGGACCCCCCAATTGGCACAACTCCTTCACACACCTAGGGAAAATCATTGTTGATTCTATTATCGCCTTGTCGCTTCCGATGGCTCTTGAGCTCTTGAGGCCACAAGATGGCCCCAAGACTGCCCAAGAGAGCCCCAAGAGGGCCCCAAGAGCGGCCAAGAGCGATCCAAGAGCGCCCCAAGAAGGCCTCAAGACGCCCTTTTTGAGCATCTGAGGGTGGTGGCTGAAGTTCTCCCCCCCCTTTTTGAGCCATGGGGCCGAAGGCGGCTCCACGAGGCACCCCAGACCCCCCAAAAGAGTCCCGAGAGGACTCCTCGACCCCCCGTATGAGCCCAAAGAGGGCTCCAAGAGTGCCCCAAGTGGCTCCGCGAGGACCCCAAGAGAGACCCAAGACGGTTTCAAGAGACCTCCAAGAAAACACTTCCAAGGCCGTTGTTAAACTGCATGCGTCTACACCTCCCTGATAAAGGCAACTCGTCTGGCGATCTGTGTATGAATGGGCTGGTGGGGATGCGCGAAGCGTCAAACATTTTACTGTGAAACCGACTCTACCCCTGCTAGTGCTCAAGAAGCATGTTGAATGTGGAGCGCTTGTGCGGCCACTGTTGAAGCGCCCAGTCGCTCGCAGAACTGATCCACTGTAGTCGGTCAACCATGCTGTTGCTCACGCTTGGTCCTGCTCTGCCGCAGTCTTGCCATGCCTGGGGCCGAGCAAACGTTTGGAATGATTTGGGACCGAGTGGATCCCTTGATCCCCCAAATCGGACAGACAAAGCTTCCAGACTTGGATAGTGCAGCTGCCGCGGCAGAGAGCAGTGGGGGAGTTGCCCCACCTGTCAGCCGAACAAGTGAATGTCTTGGCAGACGCTTCAGACCACGATGCGACCAACGCTTCCAGTACCCTTGCAGACAGAGCCCTCAAAAATTTTGGCAACTGGCCTCCGCAGCCCGGCAGCCTCTGCACTCTGCAGAAGATGGTCAAGCCCACGCCTCAAACCACTGACGAAACATTACACAAAGGCTCTCTGCCCACCGTGACACCTGCCGAGCTAATGCACATCCGCGCGCAATCGTGAATGAAAAATGGTCCGACTCGGCAGAGACAACGAACCCGATCAGCTTTCCAATGAAGGTGAAAGAGCATGTCATGGAGGCCCCCCTCTTCATCTTTTGGACCCTTCCGCCTCGGCGCCATCCTCAAACGCATGCCAGAACGCAAATCCAGAGGATGCATCGACATCATTGCCCGTGATTTCGCCAGGCTTCCGCCAGCGGGCCGCCAAAAGTGGCTCGGCGTTTAGCAGACGATGGAAGACCACATCGCCGGGGCCTGCTGCCTTGTCTCCTGAAGATTGTCCTCCTCCTTCTCCTCCTCGCCCTGCCCCCCGAGCCTCCACCTCCAAACCTGTGGCCGGCTAGTCATACGAGGCAAGGGTGGGAAAGGGCTGCAGGTTTCTGCATCAGCTGCCCCTTTCGACCCCTCTCCAGGGAGTTCCCAAGAGGACTTGTTCCCGCCGTTGGTCAGGCTCCGGACAGCTAGGCAACGTTCCCCGATGTCGGTCAGGCCCCCGAGGTGAACCCAGGGCCCGCCCACCTCGCTCCTCCCTCTGAGCCTCCTGAGCCTCCCCAGCCCAGCCAGGACACCAAGATGTTAACAGAACTTAAGAGAATAAGGCTGAGTCGGACCTAGCAGTCATCGAGCAAATCCAGCGCGGAGCGCCAGTCGAAATGCGAAGCTGTTTAGGGTATCTTGCCGCTCCTCGCACTTCTGAACAACTAGATGCCAAATACGGCATATGGCCCCCCCACTTGGAGCAATCTCACCAGCCCAAAGGGCCTAGGTTGTTCAACGGATTCTGTCTTCTCTCTCTCTCTCTCTCTCTGCCCAAACCCATCCTTCCCCTTGCTCGGGGGAGGGGTGTCCCCCTCCCCTGACCCCCTCCCCTGGGCCAGGGAGGGGGGGCGCGGATAGTTGGAGCGCCCAAGCTGGCCCAAGATGGCTCCAAGAGGGCCTCAGAGAGCCCAAGATGGCCTCCAGGATGGCTCAATATACCTCCACATGGTTCAGTTTACGTAGCCTCCGACACACACCCAAGAGGCCTCAAGATGGCCCCAGGACGGTTTCAAGTGCCCTCCGAGCCCTGAAAGGACCCCCCAATTGGCACAACTCCTTCACACACCTAGGGAAAATCATTGTTGATTCTATTATCGCCTTGTCGCTTCCGATGGCTCTTGAGCTCTTGAGGCCACAAGATGGCCCCAAGACTGCCCAAGAGAGCCCCAAGAGGGCCCCAAGAGCGGCCAAGAGCGATCCAAGAGCGCCCCAAGAAGGCCTCAAGACGCCCTTTTTGAGCATCTGAGGGTGGTGGCTGAAGTTCTCCCCCCCCTTTTTGAGCCATGGGGCCGAAGGCGGCTCCACGAGGCACCCCA